TACCTCAATTAATTGATCACTTATCCAATATTGTGGAAGAAGAAAACAACGGTGATGATGTAAAATTGTTAATCAAGAAGTACTGGTTAGACCCTGTTACCAAGAATTATGAATCTTTGATAAAATACCAAGAACTAGTGGAAACTACTATAGATTTATCGCCTTTGGAATCGTCATCTGCGCATGATTTGTTGAATACAGATTTTAATATAAAGCCTGAGTTTGATGAATCTTTGATTGCAATTAATGACAATTTACAAGCTACGTTGTCAAACATTAAGAACTGTCACATAGAAGTTAGTGAGGATTTGGGAATTGAATTAGAAAAAAAACTAAAATTAGAAAAACATCAACAACATGGGTGGTGTTTTAGAGTAACTAGGAATGATTCATCGGTATTACGGAATACAGGAAATAACTATATTGAATTACAAACGGTTAAAGCGGGTGTATTTTTCACTTCGAAAAGCTTAAGATCGTTATCGGAAAAGTATCAAGAATTTTCGGGCGAATATAATTCGAAACAAAGAGAATTAATAAAAGAAATATTATCAATTACGTCTACTTATCAACTGGTATTCACATCGTTGTCTTTAACATTGGGTCATTTAGACGTATTAGCTAGTTTTGCAAATGTGGCTATCTTCGCTCCTATTCCATATGTCAAACCGACGTTACATCCTCTTAGTAGCTCAATTGAATCAGATGAACATAAACAAAGGAAAATCAAATTAGAAGAAGCAAGACACCCTGTATTGGAAGTACAAGATGATATTAACTTTATTGCGAATGATGTTTATTTATCAACACCAAATGAAGAAGCTGATTCTAAAGGTAAACCATTTGTCATTATAACTGGTCCAAATATGGGTGGTAAATCAACTTATATTAGACAAGTGGGGGTTATTGCATTAATGAGTCAGGTGGGATCATTCGTACCAGCTAGTGAAGATTCTTCCGCTCCTGAAATTCCAATATTTGATGCGATCTTATCAAGAGTAGGTGCTGGCGATTCACAATTGAAAGGATTATCTACTTTTATGATCGAAATGCTAGAAACATCGTCGATTTTAGCAACTGCTACTCACAATTCATTAATTATAATTGACGAGTTGGGTAGAGGTACTAGTACCTATGATGGGTTTGGTTTAGCTTGGTCAATCCTGGAACATTTGATAAGTGAAAAGCACTGCTTTACACTATTTGCTACTCATTTCCACGAGTTGACTGAGTTATCTACGAAATATAGTGACAAAGTTAGTAACTTACATGTTGTTGCACATGTTGAAAAAAATGATGAACAAAATGACGAAAATGAAGATGATATCACGTTGATGTACAAGGTTGAACCGGGGATTTCTGACAAGTCATTTGGTATACATGTTGCCGAACTAGTCAAATTCCCAAATAAAATTGTCAATATGGCAAAGAGAAAGGCTTCAGAGTTACAAAACTCCAATTCTATCGACGAAGATCAATATATCCAGAACAAACGAACCAAATGCTCCGGCGATGAGATTGCCAGCAGTATTGACAACTTGAAAGAAATCCTAAAGAAATGGAAAACCATATGTTACGACTCTGATTCCAAATGTAAGGTTGAATCTGAAGAAGCAGTACAAATACTTAAAAAGTTAGTGAATGAAGACTATGCTGGAACTATTCAGAGCGACAAATACATAAATGAAATACTTAGTATGTTGTGATATTACTATATATAAAGCTATAAATATATGAACTAGTTATTCTTCTTTTCATTTAATAAGAACTCGGCATCTGCTTCAGCCAATTTTTTGACCTCATTGAATTTATCTAAGCCTTTCGGATCAATACAGTTAACAACTGGCAAACCACAAATCCATTTGAACTTGAAGAATCTTTCTGTGCCAGTCAAGAAACATCTTAAATATTCTTCGTAAACAACATAGAAGTATACTCCAGTTCCCGTGAATATGTGCCACCATCCATGTCCTTCCAACACGAATCCATATGGCATACCCCAGTTTCTTCTCAAAGCTCTTATGGGTGTACATAAATGAATATCCACGTTCCATAAGAAATATCCTAGGATGAAAATTGAAACACCAAATATCATGGTTTTGTACAACTGTCTTTTGGCACCAGCATCATGAACATGTGCCTGGGTTAAGCTGATCGACTGGAATATGATACATGCATTCAAAAGTGCGTAAGAGACTTGATGAATAGTTGGATCCTTAAAGTACAAATAAATAGCGGTTAACGTGTTCGCAGCCGCAAAGATACCAACACCAACTAAAATGGATTCCTTTTTAGTCTTGAATTCACTAAAAACAGACCAGAATGGAATACAAGTTGCATAAATCATCGGCAATTCATCAAGAAGCTGAAAATGATATCTAAGTGTCATATGGAACAACCACGATCCGATCCCGACTAACATAAATCCAAATCCAATCAAGAGAAATCGTGGTTCTAACTTATTTGTGTAGGCATGAAATATAGCAAACGATGCCAAGGCAATGAATACTGAATTTGTAAGTGTGTTTAATGCCTCCGCTATATATGGAGATACAACATAATTTTCTTCACACCAGTCAATTGTAGACGTTGGAACTCCCCAAAATCCATTGTCTTTTTCTGGTGGATACGGTACAGCATAGGGAAGCATAATTCTAATCTACTTGTGATATTTGAACCTGAACGATAAATTTTAAAAACAATCTTCCGTAGTCTTTGTTGGATAATAAATATATATAGGAAAAGAATAATAAAGATTGATTGTGTATTGACGAATATTTCAATAGACGGTATTTCAATTTCAAGTGATATAAGCTCCTGTTTACGGAGGTATCGGTTTAACATAGGCCTCTCCTAATAGGATGTATATTTGCAGCTTCAGTATATTATTAAAGGAAAACTCATCGAATGCAATCGGGTCCATAGGCGTTATGCGGTAAGAGATGATACAATAGAATTATAATGTATGCTTAGGGTCCTTGTATCCTCTATATCTGATGAAGTATCTAAATTTTAACTGAAAAACGTTCTTTGCTCATATGCAAGTTTGATGACCTCTATGTATTGAGGGTTTAGTACGTACATGAACAAATTATGGTCGACGTCCACCATAACAACGAATCATAAGAACCGTTGAAATGCTACACATGCTAGCAATAACTAGTAATAATAATAACAATGATATACAAACATAGTTTATTTCTATAAATAAAATTTTGGAGCAAGCATTAGCTGGAGTAGCTTTTGCATGTAATAATCTACTTTGGCAAGTATGTCCTGGGGCGTATGGAGGTATGAATCATACATTAACGAAAGAAAGAATTAAAAAGGAGTTTTGGATTCTAAGAATTGATGGTAGGATTTTCATTCGATTTTAAATATTGCGCAAACTTGCTCGTTTCGTGAATCCCACATTCAGTCTTGGCTTTACCCTTCCATCTACCACTTCTCTCGTCCTCGCCTTCGGCAACGGGGACGGTCGAGTGCCAGTCACCGATCGATTTATAGCCTAAATCTAATAATTCATTATACGGCACGTTATTTTCGTCGATGTAGCTTTTCACCTTATTGAAGTCCCAGTTACATAACGGGTTGATCTTGATGGTGCCACTCGATTCTTCAATTTCAATCACCGGCAATGTGCCACGGGCCCCACCTTGAGACTTTCTTCTACCTGTTAACACTGCAACTACTTGTAATTCTTTATATGCTCTTTGAGAAGGTTCAACCTTTACTAAGAAATCATAATACGAGTCGCTAGTTTCCCATAGCTGATCTCCGTATCTTTGTGCAAACTCAGATTCAGTTTCGACGTTTAACGGCTTGAATGTGTGGATCTTAGAATTATACTTTTTGCTTACGTTGTTAACCAAATCATAAGTTTGAGGAAAGTGATGCAACGTGTCAATGAAAATAAGATCTATCAAATGACCGTCTTCTGATTTTAACTTCGATATCATATCTATGGTAACTAATCCTGTTAATCCAAATGCAGTGGTTTGATATAAGTTTGGAAAAGTAATATAAGCCCACTTAATGATTTCTTCAGGAGATAACTCCTGAAGTTTTTCGTTCAAATGCTGCAAATGTTCAGCAGATAAGTTTACAGGTCCTGTTATTGTCATGATGCTATAACTTGTATAATAGAGTATGATTTACTATATTATTCAAAGTAGTTTTCCATTAATAATGATAAATTTTGGTTGCAGTGATCACCTGATATGATGAAATGTCTGCGATCGAATTGTGTTGAAGTTCTTTTTTGGATCATATTATGCAGCACATTTCCTTATGAATGTTCCCTGAATACAGTCGTGTTATAACAGTGTATGACTGTTGATTGGATTATATAGAGGTACAGACCATTAACATTTTGAAATCTAAAATAAATATTTTTCTCTGGTAAGAAAGTAGAAAAATGCGGCTTACTCAACTTCGTTAATTTGAGGAATAGGTATCTCAGGTCTTTTATAAATTTTCTACTCTAAGCTTCTGTATAATAAATGCGTCCTTAAATATCGCGGATCTTTTTTCTTATTCTGAACTACTCTCTTTTGTTTATAGAATACTCATCAATTATGCAGACCTCTTCGTCTCAGTGTAGAGATTGTTCCGAATTTCAGTTCTGATCTTTTGATTGACCCAGACGTATTATAAATTACCAATGCTTCGCTAGAGTACTCGACTTTATACTGCAAGTAAGAGAAAAGGGTCTTGCGTTGTAGGAAAATATTTTGTTAGGGTCAGCAAAAAGGTTATTCGCAGCATATTACTTACACTGGCATCAACTGAATATTAGTGAAAATGTAACATCATGAAACGAGATGTCATGCAACAATATGAAATGTAATTGATTATGTCGTTTGCTGATCATGGTATTATTTTGCCAGAAGTATACGAAGAAAGCTCAAATTTTTTTTGCTTTCAATGTTTTCTTCTCGTGTATATAAACATGGAATTATCTCTCTCTGTGAGTATTCTACAAGTTATTCAATTTAATAATGAAGAACATATATTTGTTATATTCTATTATTGATGTGAGTTATACAAAGGCACTTATTGTGACAGATACACACGGCAGACTTTATTATGCTTCTCTTGGGGATAAGCCTGAAGTTTTGATTGTGATAATGAAGAAAGATTTCGCTCGCTTCAAGAACTATGTGCTCCAACCTATAGTAGGAAAAGCGAATTCAGAAGTGTCAGAAACGTTAGAGAAGTTTAGGTTAATGGCTGAAGATCCGAGATTAATCAATACCATGCATAAGCAGATACCATATGAATTCATTTTTGGAACAGAATTGCAACGAAAAGTTTGGAATCAGCTCATGAATACTAAAGCTCTGGAAACAGTATGCTACTCACAAATGGCTTCTAATTTAGGAATGCCAAAATCTAGTAGAGTAGTAGGTGCAGCTTGTGGAGCGAACAAGATTGCTTTATTTGTACCTTGTCATCGTGCTTTAACAAAACTGGGTCAAATATCAGGTTATCGCTGGGGAGTACCGTTGAAGCAGAGATTACTTAAATTGGAACAAAAACCATTGCTGAAAGAATCAAGTTTAAAGGAAAAGTGAAGAATGTGTTTGGATTGCAGATTCTAGTAATTATTTTCAAGATAGGTTGAAATATCGTCAACTTCTGTCTACAATCTTATAACTCTAAAAGTATGTTAGGATGCCTGACAATGTTTTATTACGAGCAAATAAAGCTTTACAAATTTCAAATACTAATGTATGACACGTATGATAAGCCATGTACTTATTGTCAAATGGATATCACTGACAACCTGAACATATGCAAATCGTATAGTTTAGATGTCAATTTGAAATAATCAATCGATGAAGTGCTTCGGAATGCTGGGAAGATGAGGTTGAAACCGAAAGAATTAACCTCTGCTTGACTCCTTGAACATAAACAGATACGACTGCAAGAGGAAACGAATGGACGAAAGAAAAAGATAATAATAACAATAATGGTAAATGAATATTTATTCTCGAGTCTATATAATCATTTTTATATCGAAGCCGAATTCATGAATACGAAAATAGGAATTTGTTCTATTCTAGGATTATGTAACTTGAACGTCAAAGTTGAACTATGATTGTTACCTTTTTATATTGACAATTAATAAGATTTAATTATAGCTTCATGTAAATAGTAACCGTAGCACTTTCTGACGCAACCTACATTGTAGACGTGAATACTATCAGGTGCTAAATAATTTATGCATTTCAATAAGCTGTATCTAATATAAGTCAGACAAAAATTAAGCTTAGTTATTACAATGATAATAATTTTTTAATTGGTTTAGCCTAGCATCATTCAAATATGGTTCTTGATTTAGCTTAGAGGTTTCATAGTTTTCAAAATTATGCATAAAATTTTCGAAGTTGATCTTATCAAACTCTTTTATTTGAAACGCTTCATATTCGTAATTTTCGTTCGTTTTGCTCTTGAGGATTGGACGGACCCTAGGCGACTTAGAAGCGGCATAACTATTTCTGAACGAATTCTTGCGTAAAGATAAGTTTCTCCACAATTTACCACTTCCTATAGTATCACCTGAATTACCTCCTGGAGTGTTGTAATTCCCGTTGTATATTAGAACATCAACATATTGATTGAACTTAATTCTGGGATCCTCTATGTCCAGAATATCGAAAAGCAGAGTATCTAGTCGATTGTATTGCTCTGTATCCTCGATAACCGGAATTTTCATCGACACTGGTGAATAGTTCTCTCCTTCGTATTCTAGCTTGTTTAGCATCTCTGTCGGCGAATTACTGAGGAGTTTTCTAAGCTTAGTTTTAATAGACTGCCTAAAAGAATTGGTCCTAGAAGGAATCTCTTCGAAGGGAGTGAGCTCCATCATTACCGACTCACTATCCTCATCCAGCTCCGAACTTGTGTCGAAATCCACATCAAGCAATTCTCCAAATACCTCTTTCACCTTGGACCTATTTACTGCGCATCCATGGGTCCCGTCTATGTTTCTGTATCTTTCACCCAAAATATCATTATTTCGGTATCTATTGAACACTTCAAGCCCCTCCAGTACGATTTCATCATCCGAATCAATACCTAAATAGCCTCCATTGGAATTATCACATATCGGCCGATTACTGTTTGTTCCCTTCTGTGACCGGCGCCGCCTCTCGTCCCAAATAATTTTCTTGATCTTAAGTCGAATAGAGTTATTAGTTGCAATATTTGTCATTGTAGCAAGAGCGTAGCAATATCTGACCTGGTGCCAGTTTCTGTATAAGAAGTACCTCAACCAACGTAATTCATCGCCTAACTACTCACCTATTATTGTGGTTTTTGCATCCATTTCATTAGTGTATGCGGCTCATTTTCACATAATCCATGTATTCCGCAAGTGTATCAAACAGCAATGCCAAAGATTCCTCACTCCACAGCCATACCTAATCGCCGGCATATTTCTACACATAAATATATACACCAGGTAGCAACTTACGTCTGGTTTTACTTTCAAGATTCTGCCAGTTTAACCGGGCGGGAGAGTCTACTAACCCGAAAAGCTCGCCTGAGTTTTCCTCTACCTGCCGTAGCAGCTATATTGTAATACAATTCGAATCATTTCTAGATATTTCTATACATAAGGCTAGTATATCACCACCGTAATTCCTTTCGTAAACCAAGGCTTATATCCAGACCTGGAGTTCTCTGATTAAGGTATAAAAAGGGAGGCTTTTTTGGTGTTTTTACCATTCTAGATTTACCGGGATCTCCATCCCTGCACATTAAAAATCATCAAAAACCGTTGCACCTCCTTTCATTTCGGATCATAAGGAATCTTGCCGATATAAAAGGAGATATAAATAGCCCTTCTTAAGAGATTGTAACGAATATCTGCTGAAATATTACAAGTTAATCAAATAGCTTGATATATAATGTCGTTTGATTTCGAGAAAGAGAGTATTTTACCAGGTGGTGATCCTAGATCGCCATACCACATTAATGTCCCTAATAGAGACTCGAAGCCAATCGATGATTTGATCGCATATTTTAAGTTCTGGAAACATTTCATTAAGTCGCTCATTTTCTACTTGAAAGAGATCAGTGTGAGTAAGGAGTTTTCTGCTAATATCAATTTTCAGTTGATTAGTTCGGTCCAGTTCCCGGGTTTCAAAGACTTGCCATTGAAGTACCAGTCGCTCCTTGAAGCCAATAGTAACACCCAACCAGGGGCTCCGAGCAAGGAGTTAAAGAAGACATCGTCGGGATCGAATTTGGCAAGCAGTGGGAATACATCTGGTAGTGGTATCGATGTCCAGATGCATCAAAGTGGAGGGAATAATGCCGCAGGAGAAAATGCCGATAATGTAAGTGTGATGTCGAATGACAAAAGACCGGGTTTATTCAAAACTAAGTCCAACAACTCGACGTTCATGAAGCGTAACGGCACTCCCTCTTCTAGCGGGAACCAAAATACGTTCAACAATAATTCACACAAACGAAACACAAGTGGTACTACATTTTTCAAGAATATCCCTAATCATATTAATAGCACCTTGTCATTGCCGTTGCCATTGTCGATGGGTAACCATCACCAATCCCCGGGACAGACACCACCAGTTCTAGGCTCACATAATACCAATGATGTGAGAATCCCACCTGAATTTTTCCCCAGTGATTCGGCGTTCACTAATTTGGCTCCACTTTTCATCAACCACCACCTCCATTCATTCCAGACTCAGATGAAAACCTGCAAAGAATTGAAAACGAAATTGATACCAAGATTGGAGACTTTGTTGAAGAACTTATCGCTCAAAATTAAAGAAATTAGATCAAGTTTGAAAAACGAGTCGTTTGCAAACGATGAGGTGGCTAAGGAAATCAGTCAGACTGGTAAAATCTTAACTACGTATACCAGTTCAGTGGAAAGATATTCTGGCCCGAAACCGGTTTTTAAGAAGGCAATTGATGATTATGAGGGAGAAGAAGATAAAGCTGTTTTGGATGATCCATTCTTGCTTAAGTTAAAGGTAGATCATCAATTGAAGAATCAATTAATTCAAGAAAACTTTCTTTTTGCATCGTACTTGAACTTGCAAAATATCTCAAAGGATTTGTTGACGTATGTTTTGAAAGAATTAAATTTTATCACTGAAAGATTTGGTAAGTTAATTAACCTGGAGTCTTGCGAGTCGGATGAAGTAGCTATGGTCAGTCTTTTTGATACCTTAAAGAATAAGCTACAAAGATCTTCTAGTGCCTATTGGGAGTATTTTATTTCCCACAACAAGAATTTCCTTAATATATACGTGGATACACCCGTTTCAAAGAAAAGAGAGATTCGTAATTTAAGCAAATTGAGTTTGCCATATGCCAATTCTATTCATAATAAATGTATCAGATCAGGAATAATTTACAAGAAGCTGAAAATCTTAAAAAACTATAGTGGGCATTTTTACGTCTTGACTTGTAATTATTTACATGAATTCAAGATCGAAAATGATAACCACCATAATAATGAAGACAAGCAGACATCAACACCACCACAATCAAACCACAAGAAAAAGGATAAGAAGGGTGGGTTGATTGATTATAATGATATCCCATTAAAATCCTACAATTTGAATGACTATATCTTACATAGTAAGGATGCCAAAAACTTTAAGTTTGTCTTGCAAAGGGTTTCAAATTCAAGCAAAAAATTCACGTTTAAATGCAAAAGCATGCCCGATTACAACAATTGGTATGGTGATTTACACGAATTATTACAATTTGGCAATGAACATTTAAGAAGATTCAAGTTGGTTCAGGACAAAATGGCTGTCAAAGACGAAGCGGCGAAGAAGATCCAAGAACAAAAAATACGTGAAAAGGAAGCAAGCGCGGCAGCTCAGGCGGCAGCAAATGAAAAGCATGAAATACCAAAGCAAGCAACCACTCACGAACAACAGGCCACAGCCGCTGCTCTTGCAGCTGCGGGAGTTCAACAAAAGGCCCCTGATCAAGCTGGTAAGGATGGCTCTAATAGACCAGGCCCATTGAATTTACAAAACATATCACTGGCTAACGTCTTCCCTGCTAACAGTTTTGTGAGCACGCCGGTCAATAGTGGTTCTGGTTCCCAATCGCCAATTGTGAGATCGCCATTGTCGAATGAAGTGGTAATCGAGAGAAATCCTTTCGAAAGAACCTTCTCCAACCATTCCGCTTCAAATTTGTCTTCGCCTAACTACTCGCCAAATCAAATATTAATTAGCAATGCTACCTTATCTCCTCCTATCTTGGCCACCTCAAACTCAAACCCTCATCTTGGGGGCCATCAGCAGCAGCATGAATCTTACTTACAGGCCCAACAGGAATACTTAAGGCAACAGCAAGAGATATTAAACTTAAAGATCAAGCAGGCAGAATTGGAACAACAAAGCCACCATACACACAGGTCTCTTAGCCCTCAACAGGAATATTTTGTTTTGAGTCCTACAAACCTGGCAAGCGTTTCTCGTGCCTCGTCCAACGATTCTCTAGTGTCAATGACTCAACAAAGTCAACTTCAGCAAATGTTGGATACCAATAGAGATATCTTGAACCGTTCCCAGAATTATCAATTCCACAAGAGTGACAGTTCTACTGACTTGAAGAATAACGAACAGCCACTGGAATCGAATATCGCACCTTCCTCAGGCCAGAATTCGAATTCTGATGTCCCAAAGGTATTTGTTAGTTCCAACCATTAATCTAATTTATAGATTCTACTAGTGACTTTCCAAAAAATGCATGATATAGATATATATATACTCTACAATATCAAGTTCTTAAACAACTATTCATTGTTCAAGGTGTAGATTTTCACGTGCGAATGATTGCTAAGAATTTTAATTTTGAGTATTTAAAGGATAAGCAATGACCAACGTATTTTATTCACTAATTTTTACTGATACTTGTAAGTAAATATTGGATATTAAGGGATCAATTGATTAAATTAGGTTCTATAAAAATACTGATTACAAATTGAAACATACTTTGTTGATATTTTCAGAATAAATTACGTACTAGGAACAGAGAGCAATTTACAGACTCAATTGCAAATTTAAAGTAAAATAATCTGAAAATATATTAGTTAAGTGAGATTGATTTTAATATGTCGTCTAGTGGATTTTCATCAGGTGTCAAAAAGAACGAATCGGCTATCGCTTCAGACTTTGAATCAGACGTTGAAGTTGTGGATGGAAATGCATCAAATCCGCCTATAAGAAGAAGCTCCTCGTTATTTTCATTGGCTTCTAAAGAAGCATTACCAAAACCGGACGAAAAGGACTATGTTGCGTTTATATCGGATTCGAGACACTTCAGTTTAGTTAGAAACTTGCACATGGCTGATTTCATCACGTTAATGAATGGGTTTTCCGGATTTTATTCAATTATTTCATGCTTGAGATTTACCAGTACTGGGCAGACCCACTATGTACAAAGGGCCCATTTTTTCATTTGTTTAGGGTTATTCTTTGACTTTTTTGATGGTAGAGTGGCAAGAATAAGAAATAAGACGTCATTGATGGGCCAGGAATTGGATTCATTAGCAGACTTGATCTCGTTTGGTGTTTCTCCCGCCACCATTGCGTTTGCCATTGGATTCCAAAGTACTATCGATGTGCTATTATTGACATTCTGGGTATTATGTGGATTGACCAGATTGGCTAGATTTAATATTTCTGCTAACAAGCTTCCAAAGGATAAATTAGGAAAATCAAAATACTTCGAAGGTTTACCAATTCCTACAAATTTAATTTGGGTTGTATTCATGGCTTTCTTGGTCTACCATAACATGATTTTGGATGACTTGCCAGGCCCAATTTTATTAGATGGCAGCTTTGCGGAATTCCACGCTATCTCTTTAGGGTTTTTCATTCAAGGTTGTGCAGAGATTTCCAAGTCCTTACACATTCCAAAACCATAAACTTGACTTAGTTTTTATTTTTTTATTTATTGTATTTGATTTATAATGAAATGCAGGCTAGGAATACAGCCCGGATTTCATATGTAACTATTTAAAAGGAGGTCTAGAAAATAAAATAATTTCGATATCTTTAAATGATGGATGTAGCCGTATTTCGTATTATCGTTATTTAAGGGTATATTACATGCTATAGTTATTTAAAAGGGCGTATTGTCTACTTACTTAAAAGGGGGTCTTGAGAACGTAATAATTTCGATATCTTTGAATGCCATGTCTTTGTACTTGCCTGATTGTAACTCATGGTATGTCTGTTCAGAAAAATTGCACGGATCCAACAATCCAATGGCTTGAGGATTGAAACCTAATACATGCGTATGTTGTGATATATTGGCATATCTGCATTGTTCCCAGAATATATTATGAAGCTTGGAATATTTCAATATGTAATTAAACCTGTATTTCCACAACAATTTCGATCTGGTCTTTGGATCATTGGATCGGCCAATCCCGATTTTTGATAATTCGTAATGAAATGTAGCCAAAATAAATAACAATTCAGGTTGCTTCTCTATTTTATCCATTAGCTCTATAACCTTATCATGACTGGGGGCTTTTTCAAGCTGCCTTTGGTATTCATCAACTTGTCTAACATATCTTAATGAGTTTGCAAGTATATTTCCACCTTTCTTGTATTGCGGAGGAGTTGGACTATTGGAAGAGTAAAATCTCAAAAATGCATATTTCCTACACACCACACTGGCGTACCGTCCCGGTATTATCCTTATCATTTACAGAAGAGTCGTTATTTAATGGTTCTGAATGGTTAATGTATCGCAACTTTTGTGTAATCCATACTCTCATAAAAATATTTTTCAGCGCTTGAAATCGTCGAATAGGTTCTTAGAGTCTTCTACAGGTAATAGAATAAAAGTTGACTAAAGGATCATGTTAAGGAACACAAAGCTCTTATCAAGAACTATAAGTTCTTCGTTACGCTTTGCTGCAACAAAAAATACTAGATTACCAATCCAACATAAGTTTTATTCGAAGAAGACAGATAAAAAGGCGGAAGAACCACAGTCCATCTTGACGGATGATTTATTAGCTAAGGCTGGTTTTGAAGACCCTAATGAACCGAAGGGAAAGTCTGATCAACAGGAATCAGAAAACGGTGAACCAAGCGAAGAAGAAAAATCAAACGGACAAGAACAAAGATCAAAAAAAAAGAGAAGAGCACAAACTTCTAAAGATATACAACGTGAAAGATATGCCAATATGTTCTACCTTGCCACATTAGTCGGAGGAATCGCTGGTGTAGGATACATGTGTCGTGATTGGGATTCAGAAGACGAACAAACCAAGCTCGAAGGTAAGGATATCGATAACGGATTTGCACCAAACTTGATGTATGGTAGACTTAATAAGAGATTAGGATCATTATTCACATTCTTCTCCGAACCAGTTTTTGAAAATTTGTTACCACCACCAGCCCCAGAGGCGTACCGTCGTCCATTAACCTTAGTCGTGACCTTAGATGACTTTTTGATTCACTCCGACTGGGACACCAAGCATGGATGGAGAACTGGTAAGAGACCCGGTTTAGACTACTTTTTGGGTTACTTATCACAATACTACGAAATTGTTATTTTTGGGTCAAACTACCAAATGTACTCCGAAAATACCGTTGGTAAGTTAGATCCATTCCACGCTTACGTTTCGTATGCTTTATTCAGAGAAGCATGTCGTTACAAGGATGGTAAATTAGTCAAAGATTTATCGTTATTGAACCGTGACTTAGGTAAGACTGTCTTAATCGACGTCGAGGAAGATTCGTGGTCCATGCAACCAGACAACGCAATCCCAATGAAGCCATGGGATGGTTCGTTCGATGACACATTAGTCAAATTAATCCCATTCTTGGAATACTTGGCCACCCAACCAGTTAAGGATGTCAGACCAATTTTGAACTCGTTCAATGACAAATCTAACATTGTGCAAGAATTTGCCGAAAGAGAAACCAAGTTGAGAGAACAATGGAAAAAGGACAACAAACACTTGTTCGACAGCGCGAAGAGACCAAATGCCGGTAACTTCTTAGCGTCTTTGATGGGTGTCCCAACCACCAGTGTCAATAAGGAGCCTAAGATGCCTTTGGACATCATCAGAGAACATGGTCAATTACAATACGAACATTTCCAGAAATACTTGAAAGAAAATGCTCCAAAATTCTTGGAAGAAGAACAGAAATTGAAGGATGAATTCGGTAAAGTCAGTTTGAACAAATTGATAACTGAAGGTGCTCCATCTGCTGATGATATTGCTAAGGTTCAAGCCGAAAGAGCTGCAGCCCAACAACAATAAGTCTAAGCTACCACTATATATAATCCCAACCCATTTTAAACCTACCAAAGATGCGCTTACCATCTTTGCACCACTTCTGCCACTTTCTGTGCCTCTAATGCTATCTTTGTAATTATGTTATCCATAAATATATGTATATAAGCTGTTATAAAACCATGGAGCCGATACCGGAGTTTGCACGACCCATCTACTATTTGCTCATTTTTGATCTCAAATTATAATTTTGTATTGTTCCCTTACTTGGTATTCCATGTTTATCAGTATTTAAACCATCAAATCCCGCCGCTTACTCATATTCACTTTTATTCGTGTACATATTATCTCATATTTTAAGAAAGTGGAATATAGCTTACAAGTTGTCTTCAGACATTATTGTCCATACCCAGCGGCTAGCTATTTATATGATCAACGGCGTCTACTTGCTACGATAGTACTAAAAAAAAAATTCGAGACAATTCAAAGTATTCATAAACATCTGTATTAGACAGCTAAAGAATTATAACGTAAGTATTGCCTTGGTGTAATTCCCTTATAACGGTATTGATAGTTACATGTCAGGGCCGTATGCAATTCCGGATTTCGGGAGTGTATCCTGTGGCACCGAGAAATATGCATTTGGCGAGTTTGTGTAACATCATCTTTACTATGATTGGCTTGTATCATGCTTCAGATGGAAAAGATAAAATTTTATCTGATCAATCAGCGAACATTAGTCAGAGGAAGATTAAATTTCAGGCTTTTTTTTTACTAACAAGTAATTTTTAGCATCTATAAGAATTAACATGACTTCAAAGGGCCCAAGTATAGCACCTAGACTGCATAGTTTGGCTCCATCGCCGATAGCTATTGCTAATACACCACCTTCTGCGGACAGCCCGCCACAGTTATTGCGGACTGGGGCACCACAGGTGAAGAAAACGCTGCCTGGAGACACGTCAGGTGGAACCGGAGTGACGCAGATAATAACATCCAAAGAATGGGTGTTGCCTCCTAGACCAAAACCTGGAAGAAAGCCCAGTATTGATACGCCGGCTTCGAAACGGAAGGCGCAGAATAGAGCAGCACAACGAGCATTCAGGGAAAGACGGGCAGGAAGAGTGCAGGAGTTGGAAGAGAAGTTATTGGAGGTAGAGAAGGAAAGAGATGTTAAGGAGATGGGTTTGGTTAATACTATTAATAAGTTGAAAGTGGAGAATCAATTTTTACTTAAAAGCATAGATCAGTTGAGAAACGACATGAATGCGTTCAAAAATGCTAACGCGGGCAGTAGCCAAGCTAGTACCCAACAGAACACGATATTCTCGCAATATAACACGATATCACACTTCAAGTCTAATCCATCACCAAACAGCCGTTCTACGGGGTCTCCATCGGGATCCTCGTCGTATTCCGTGCAGCAGATCTCGCCAGCACCATCTGCAGACTCGCCACCAGTATTTACCAACGTTTCTGCTTACAATAGTTTGTCTACACCTGCTTCGAACAATAATTCACCAGATAAGCTAGTGGCGAATAATACCACTTCGAGTTCGTTCGATTGTGGTGTGTGCGTTAAAGAAGAATGTCTCTGTGAGACAGTGGGATTGAAAGACCCAGAGCCAACGAAGAAAGTATCGTTGGAGGAGACAATCAAGGAGTTCAAGCCCATGCCTGCTGTTTCGTTACGTAATAAGAAGAGAAAATTGACTGACCTGGTGTCTAAAGAGATTGATTTCACAAAAAAGTTTACAACCAGCAAACCAATGCCAGATTTGAAAAAATTAAAGAAGCAATCTGATAACAACACTATGCTTGCTAAGAAGACAAATATTTCTGAACCAAGCACCCAATTTGACGAGTCATCTCCAGTAGATAATTGTGGATTCTGTACAGATGACACTCCTTGTGTTTGTCGCGAGGCAGCCAAAGAAGCTGCTAGATTCAATGACTCGTTGAACGCAGAACAAGAAGAGTCCAGTGATGCGGCAACGTCGTTACCACCAATTCAATTGAATACAAACAATTTCCGTAAGAGCTCCTTGCCAGTTATGCACCCAGGACCATCGGTGGAGATTCGTGATATTACGAACTTATCGCCTGGAGCAGTTCCAACTGTTGTTGCATCAACTACTAGAATGAATTCGTCGGTTTTTTCGAGTGAGACTCCCGACAAGGAATTCTCGCCTGTGCCTGAAAAGAAAGCAGGAGGATGCACTGGTAATCCCGGAACTTGCGAACAATGCCAAATGGACCCAATGTCTACTTTATTTTGTACGACTGTCGCAAACAAGGAAAAGGACGAAGAAAAATCAAGATCTAATTCCTATGATGCAGAGTCAAACTCGCCGCCATCTCTGAAAGAATCGAATGCTTCCCAAATATCAAGACTGAGTTCAAAAACCAGCTTGCCATCAATTTCGGTCACCAATTCTTCTAATTCTATTTCTCCTGAAAGAAGTGATATATTTATTCCTTGCTCTGATGCATATCGTACTTTGTCAAGACACAAGAAGTTTAATTCGGTTGATTTCAGCACTTTGGTTGGTAAATTGACTACAAGAGGAATGCAAGTAGAAGTCCAATCTGTTGCAAATGTCCTTCGTGAATTAGATAGAAGGGTTTACAATTAGAGCTGTTAGGAACAATTTTATATGGTTGATTATTGATTTTGGTAGAATGGTTAGGGGTTTAATTTTTATGCTGTTATGTTTATGTATTTTTACTTATGGGTTCATCTTTTTATAAATTATTATATATTTCTTTATGTTATCAATGCTAGATGATTAATTTGACGTTTATTTGATATCACCAAACATGTAGTTGATATTGATTTGATATGATGCAAATGATGAAATGGTCGTGCACACTACTTGAGCTGGAGTAGATTTTTTTAATATTTTGATAGTATTTGAGGCTAATCAAGCAGAATAAGGCATATTATAGCATAAATGTTGGTTATACGGAAGTTTGGGTTCATAGAGGGTAAAGAAGTTCTCAGGTTTCGATTACGTCAAGTGAGAAATTTTCATGGTACTGGAATTTTATTGAAAGACAAGAATGAAGAATCCAAATCAAGCGAAGAGCAGAAGATAAGTCCGGTGGATCTTTCAAGTGCGTTGAAACACACTTCAAAACTTAGAGTGACAAACCAAGAATTGGCCACGTTAGACCAAGAGATAGATCTTTCTCGAACCAAGAAAATTTCTAAAAAATATACTCAAGACATCAACAGGAACGTACTTTCTCCAGAAGTTCAGAATGCAATCAAGACAGAGAATACAACTGCTCCTCCACCAGCAAGGAACTTAAGGTCTAAGACGAATTCCAAGCTATTGGTAGGCTTTACTGGTAAACCTCAGTCGAAAACGCCTCCAAAAAGAAATACATTAAGCAAGCATACACCATACTCGAAGACATCAAGAAGCTCCAAACCACATAGGTCACCACTGTTAACTAAAGAGGCGATAGAAATAGTCAGTGAGACGATTTCTGTAGATGAAGATGTCAAGCAGGTTCAACAACTCGATAAATCAAAAATTGCCAGATTGGCTCACAAATTAGACAGAACCTTGTTTTCACCTGGAGTACACTTTCTACAAGATCCGAGAACTAGAATATATAATTTCACGCCATATTTAAAGAAAATAATAAAGGTTGACGAGTTCAACTTCGATGCAATCGAAACTTTTGTTAGCGTATCTAAAGATCAATCGTTATTGAAAGTTGCAGAGCAAGAGAATAAAAGGTTTTACTCTTCTACGTCATCCATGACATCCGCATTGATGCAATTTTACCTCCTATTAAATAACTATATGCCAAATACCGAAGAAAGGTTCCCATTCCCCAAATTTTCCGGTGCTATAGAGAGGGTAGCAAGTAGTGTTATTGTGCAACCCAAAGGAAGAAACTCCAAGACAGACGAAATCATATATGCAGTGGAGTCAGATAAGTCAGCAGATACAGAGATACTTTTATCGGTAATGGGTCATTGCTTAGAGGCATTATTAACCACCGAAGAAAAGGAATTCGAAAGATATACACTCAATTACAAAAACCAGGAAATACTAGACATTCAGCATAAGAAGCAAATGGAGGATGAAGATGATAAACCACAGAACACGTACAACTATGCATCATACGGAGATTTCTTGATGAGGTCCCAATTAGATTGTTATGACGATAGACTTCCCGGAAACGGAACGTTTGATTTGAAAACTCGAGCAGTCTGTGCTATAAGGTATGATAGCGGAAACCCGGAACTAGAAAACAATACGTATCAAATTTGGAAGTTGAATGGTAATCTTGAGTCGTTTGAAAGAGAATATACTGATTTAATCAGGACAGGAGCATTACTCAAGTATAGTTTCCAAGCCAGAATTGGCCAAATGGATGGTATTTTCGTTGCATATCACAATATTAACTCTTTCTTCGGATTTCAGTACTTGCCTTTAAGCGAAATTGACAACACGTTTTACAACCACAGTAGAAATGAAATAACGAGGCACATAGGCGCCACAAGCTTAGAAGACATCGACGACGACTTACCATCGTATGTAGCTGATACCCAGTTCAAAATGTCATTAGAAATATGGGAAAAGTTATTGAAAGAAATCATCCATGATATTAACCAGGTAGAACAGTTCAAAGACACCGCATTCAGGCTACTTTTGAAATCATCGAGAATACCCGGGTCCTCTAAACAGAGGATGCATGTCATGGCCGTACCATTGGATAAAGAACAGGTCCACACGCTCCAGAAATTCCCCTCTACGTTCAAAACAGGCTTCAAGGAAGAAATTACACCCGAAGAAAGGCTTCAAAACCTCACTAGACATCGCGACGAATTAAATGAATTCAACAAAAAGACTACAAAGTCAGACTTAGGCGTGCTATCCTACTGTATTGACGTTGATCACTATTTTGGCAACGCCAAATCTCCTGTCAAGGATTTACACGCATATCCGAGATCAAAAGACCAACCATGGAAACTCAAATACTCCATAAAAAAATTACCCAACAACCCTAAACCATATTTAGATCTACTTACCGCAACTACAGACATGCTAACTTCAAGCCACAAAAAAAATCTAGAATCAACTCATAATGATGATTACGAATTTTCCTTGAATAATAATAACGCAGCACAATCTTCCGATCGCAAAAAAGTCACTGATAAGGCAAACGTATTGAAAGTATACTCTGCTATCGGAAAGGCCAGGGCTGAGAAATGGGAGGAGAAGGATTCCAATCCAGTTATGTATAAACCCAACCCATAGATATCTTTACAAATACATGTATATAAATTCCAATACTATAAAATTTTTAATTACGTCCTCATCGAAACTTATGCAAGAAATTTTTCCGGTATTTATCTTTTCGGAGTTTCCGATTTTTGCAATTTTTTAATGACTAATTACGAGATCTATTTAGTTATTATATGAGTTCATACAATTAGAATCAACAAGTAAACTAATAATATATATCGGGATAGTACCATATTTAACGTTTACTGTTTCATATCCCAAAACATCACTAGAATAGAAGCTCTTGCTGCTAGCTATTAAGATGGATACTTTGCCTTACAACGAGGTACCGAATGGACGGGAAGATAATTTTGCAAAGAAAAATATAGAAATCAATATGAAAAAGGATCCGGAAGAAGGTCAAACACCGACAAATTCGTACGGGGTTAATGTCTTCGAAAGAATAGGGTCAAATACTTCGATAAACTCGTTGTTTGATTCCAACGAGTATTATTGCGATGCTTTCAAAACCAATGGAACGCAAACTGCGGCAAGCAGTATGATATCGACTCCGTTTTTGCTGACTTTAAAGGAAAATATCCTTGAAGTGGAAGACTTCAACACTTTGATATCACAGAAGCTTAATTTCAACAAAACAATCATAATTTTGGTCGGACTTCCAGCATCAGGCAAGAGTACGATATCCAAACAACTCTGTAGCCATTTCGACCAAAAGAACTACAGGTCGAAGATATACAATGCAGGAGACATTCGTCGTAGACTCAAACATAACTCGTTCAATAGTTCGGATTTCTTTGACCCTAACAACTTGAAGGCAAAGCACGAAAGAGAAGTTTTTGCTACAACCTCATTGAGCACATTAATGCACGATTTGAACAAAGGAAATATTAACATTGGATTTCTTGATGCAACGAATACGACATTGGAAAGAAGAAACAAAATTATGCAATATATACGGGATACGCCAATCCGGGTTGATAATGTCATTTTAATGGATATCCAATGCAATGACCAAACCTTGATAAACTTCAATATAAGTGGCAAGGCATTCAATGCTGATTACAAGGGAAAGGATTACAATACGTCTGTTCGGGACTTCAAAGAGCGGTCGAAACATTATGTCAAGATTTATGATCCTATCAGTGAGGAAGAGCTTGCATCATATAGAGATGTAGCCAGTCTTTATGTACAGATTGTAAATGGTGGGAAAAAATTCAAATTTGCAAATATCTCTGAATCAAATGAAGTGGATATTCAAATTGGGAATGACCTTCTTACATGTCTCACCGATTTCATTAAAAACTACCCAGACAGGGAAGGGAAGAGATATTTCGAAGCAGTAGAAGCATTCTACAAAAGCAAGAATAACATTTAGAGTAATTTCAAGCTACCTGTGATTTGTACATTATTTTAATTCATTTGGGGAACATACTAGAGTAATTTTTATATACGAGGATTTATATAGAGGGATAAGAACCAGGAGGTTCAATACACATGTATCTGTAAAATTAAAATAAACTGTAGGATGCTTTTGTCTCTATTAATTATGTACTTTATTTAGTGACCTCTTAAGCCGGGAATATTTCCCCATCCATTTGTGGTAGATTCATTACCATTAGGCAAGTTGTTTAGTCCAGGTAAATTGATAGCTGGAGCAGATGACGAGTCGTCTTTATTCACGCTCGCAGTAGATGGCTCAATAACAGCATTAATATTGTTATTAACACCATAGTACCACGCGCCAACTTTGTCGTTTGTGTATAATGCATCTTGGAACGACATTGGGTCATTAGGTCTTGCCCTGGACCAGAATCTTGCCGATCTATCAGCACCAGCAGAACATAATAGATGACCTAATGGGTGATACTCCAATGCGTGGATGGCTTTTTCATGAGCATAAGGAATTTTGTGTGATGCTTCGATTGGAGATGTTGAATTGTTATTGCTATCATTCTTAATATTGTTATCTGAAATATATGAGTCCATTATATAATGATTCATTGACCCGTCATATGCAGCAGTCGTAATCATGGACGGGTGAACTGGGTGCCATTCAACACAAGACAAATCCGTTTCATGATCTCTTATCACTAAGATATCTTTCATAGTTCTTAAGTCGAATATGCGGCATGATTTATCTCTAGAAACCGATGCTAATAATCTTTTCGTACCAGTAGGCTGAAACTTAGTTTTGGTAATTGTATGCTTAAATCCATGTAAGGTTGAAACACATGACGACACTCTAGGGTCCCAAAGTTTGATTAAATTATCCTTAGATCCCGATACAATAAGCCCCAAATTTGGGTGCCAGTCCGCAGATTTAACATCCCAATGATGCCCCACTAAACTTCTCTCTTCTTGACCATTATTAAAATTCCAAATTTTCATCGTTGAATCGTCAGAACAAGTCAAAAATTTAGAGTCATTAGGAGAAAATGCAATATCTCGAATCCCATCACTATGCCCATTTATAATATTCACATTATTAAAATTAGTTTGCCAGTACTTTATAACACCACTTTGGTCACCACTCAATAACCATTCATCGTTATGTGAATATTTTAACGATAAAATAGCCAGATCATGCGCTTGCATAATAGTCTCGAAGTTGAATGTCATACCATTCCACACCGTGAACTCCCCACTGTGTGATGCCACCAACAATCTTCTACCTTCAGGGGTCCATTTTACAGTGTTAATCGAGTGTTTTGCCTTATTGGATGAAAGATGCACAAATTTCGTCTGAATATCCATAACGGACATATTATTCTTGTTCTCCCGAACTGAATTCGACGCATACGCTGGAGACGGCAACAAATCTATCAAATACGACGACTCAGGCCTTATCTTACCGATTGGCTGATCGTCTATCCCAAGACTTCGATTGATATACCACCGTCCCATATTATTACCGTGGTCTACTGTTCTTCTATATGCAGTCTTTTTCTCCTGGGATGCTAGTTGTTGTTCTATGTTCTGATTATACCCTTGGGACCGTTCATTATTCCGATTGTTATTATTATAACCCCGATTACCATTACTATTGCCGTTATTACTATTATTATTAAACATATTCGTACAATAAAGACCTATTAATACACGCCTATTTCACGCTATTTTCGACATCGCTAAATATTATGGAATAAAAATGTCGTCCGACATTTAAACCACATGCCACACAAATGTCGCAATATTGCTATATAGGATAGACCTATAGACGTTAATAGTTAGTAATCATTTATAGCTGCTATACAAGCCTTTTAAAAGTCAAGTTATAATGGTTGAATTCTTCTATCACGACAACAAAGATACCCCGGAAAACTTTACTGATGTTCACAACTCAGGAGAACCAGTAAGTGTCGAAGATCTTGATAAGCTTGGAGTCAAGTACTTTTATGTTACTAGCACCAATGAATTAGACGATATTGCGACCAAGAGAGACTATAAAAATAGAGACGAGATCACGTTGAACTTGGATTCATTTGGTGGTGATGTGGACGCATTTAATGCTAAAATGAAGCAATTTTATAAAGAACATTACCACGAAGACGAAGAGATAAGATATATTATTGACGGAGAGGGCTATTTTGACGTGAGGGATAAGCAGGATAGATGGATAAGGGCAAAACTTGTCCCTAATGACATGTTGGTTTTGCCAGCAGGTATTTACCATCGTTTTACCTTAACTAGTGCGCTCAGAAAGGTCAAGGCAGTTCGATTATTTAAAGATGAGCCAAAATGGGAGGCAATTAACAGAGAAACGGGTAGAAATAGTGAAGCTCGTACCGAATATCTAAAGACTATTGCTGTGTAGTGTCTAGTGTTTAGGGATTATATCTAGGGAAAGCTTAAATTATGTTATACTATTTTTGAAGTTGTATTAATTTTATATATTAACCGTATTGTAGTGCTTTGCTATCTAAACTATATTACACGCATTATAGGACCTATTCTTGTGCTCCTCCTTTAACAATCTTGATGTTATTCTTTTTCATCCACGATTCCATCTCCTTTCTTGCCTTGACCAATTCTTGGTCAAATTTAGTCTTTTCTTCGTTCAAACTCTTAGTTTCATCATTAAGTATCTGGATCACCTCATCAACACTCTTGTCAACAAGTACTCCTCCAATCATCTTAAAACATTTACGATTTTCACGTTCTGATGGAGCAATGCCACTCAATGTTTTGTCGACTATAGAATGTTCGTGAATTTGAGAAGTGATAGTACTAAGTTGAGTTTGCAAATTAGTTATATTTTCTTGGTATCTGTTATACTGTTGTTGTAAAGCTTGAGCCTTCTGGTCCTGGGCCTGCTGCTTTTCAGCGTCGGAAACTGTAGACATGGTTACTTAATTGCAGATATTCTTTATAATACTTTGGATCAACTAAAAATCGGTTTATTCGATATTGATTTTGGACAAAACTGCGAAAAACACTCTCTCAATTTACAGTTTAATTATAATATAGGCTGCAACTGGTCTAATAAGAAGTATTACCTAGACTTTATAAAGCTTGACGTTGGTGATTATGTTGGAGTAATATGATTTTTTAAAAAAGTGTGTTTATTAATATTTAACGACTTTAATTAGTTTAAAATTTATATTATATAGCCAATCAAATGAGTCCTGTTACAAGGAATGCCTGCTGAACTAGTCATCTCAAAGGTAAATGGGAGTGAAAGAGTAAAGAATACGGTTTAGATAGTTATCTTACATGAAAAAATCCTATATTTTGCTTATATTTAGACTTGACGATTATGGCTTCTATTTCTATTATGTGGATACTTAAACATTCTTCTTGGTAGTATTGGTGTTACCCACATATAAGAAGTTGACAACGAACAAAAACCATCCTAACACAACTAAAGCAGCACTAGCCACGTACAACCAAGAATTTGGAATATCCCATGATCTCTTATATTCATCATTGGCCAAGTGTCTAACCGTCACAACCCTTTTATCAACTATGTAACTCAAACCAGATCTCTTGTAATCCAATTCGAATGTGAAAATACCATGTTGATCTGGAATTGTGAAGTTAGCGTAATAAATGTAAGTATCCTCAGTAAGATCACCATCTTCCTTCGAGGAACCTGGACCCAACGGTTGTAAATTAACTCTTTGGTAAGGATCTAACATCTTGAATGCAAGCTGTAAGGTATCGTCTTCATCTTTGATCTCGTATGGGATCCATTTGTCGTTGGAAAATTCAGAAACACCGACAGTGTAGATAACTTGATCTTTAATACGGTATAACTTATTGTCAACGAATTCTGGATTTTCATTCTTATAATGCTGAACAAACTGTAACTTTAACACATTTCTCTCTTGGAAAGTCCACTTGAGTAAGTCATCATTTATCAACGATTCAGAACCAACCCATGTCAATCTGGCATTATTCAAACCTTGGAAACCAACTGCCAAAAACCCTTGTTGGCCAAAAGTCCAAGTTTTCTCTTGACTGATAGTCCCTTCTACTTCATCAGTAGTAAAACCAGTTTTAGAACTTCTGACAATTGGGAATATATTTTCATTGTTTGAAATCAACGCACCGGTACCCTTGAACGCATGTTTATCCCCATTAAATTGCCCAAGAACCTTCTTATTGGCAATATTTTCGTTAGTGAGTTGTGGAACACCCTTTGCAGAGTTGAAATGATCAACATACTTGAAACCTTTTGGTGCTGGGTAAATTCCCATCTCATTAAGGAACGTTCTAACATCATCAGGTAACACGGTTTCATCATTTCCAACCACGAATATATTTCCCTCTCTATTTATAAATTCCACCAATTGGTGTTGGTTAAAGCCCTTCTTGTTACCAATAGCCTTTTTGGAACTTGGAAGTAAAATCAAGTGGTCATATCTTGGTTCGTCCGCAATGAATAATGATAAATCTTCATCACTGTAAGATTGCAATGTTAATTCAAATCCATGTTTTTTCTTCAAATCCGACACCAAATTAGCCACTTCGGAACTCACGCTTCCTAAATTGTTCAAGTCATAAAGGCTAGAATCATAAACTACTAATGCCTGGCTCACACCTTGTTCATTTGCAGACAATGCATTGGCAAATACACCCAACAAAAATGCCACAAAAATTGCCCACTGTTTAATCATTCTTAATTGAATCATTCTACCTTCAATATATCTTCAGATTAAGAATAGATAACTAAGTATGCTTGTTTGTTTAATGTAGTTAATGCTAACGTGTTTGAATTTTCAGCATGGGTCAATCTCGGTACACGGTTTTGTGTTACTTTTCACCTCTTCCCATAAAATGGGACATAAAGAAGTACTATAAGTGAAAAAGTGGTAAACTATCGTCATAGAACTAGACTTACGACTAAAATGGGTATCAAAGTAAAGGTAGAAT